AGTTTCTGCCATGCTTCTGAAACAGGTCAATTGCTACACCACACTGTTTCCCGCCCTAAGGTTTACAGACTGAATGGGATGGAAGTGGGTGGAGGTGACTACATTGAAGACTGGGTTGGCCAGTGGGATGCTAAGAGAAGCTGTGATTCTTCACCCTAGGCCTCGATTCTCCACACACCCAATGGTCTTATTTTTGTTGTCTCCCTTTCCCACAGCTGTTGAAAAGGGCAAAGGCAAAGCCAAGAAAGGCTCATCCTTTCAGACTGTGTCAGCTCTGCACAGGGTAAGTGTGTGGCCCCAGCTCCGATTCATCATGGCTCCCTATCAACTGTGGTGCCCGAACCCCCACACAGCCCTGGCCCTTCCCTGCCTTCTTCATCTCCTATTCCTCTCCCTCCAAGTCTCCCCTATGCATTCTTGCTCCTTTCTCTTGGTCATCAATTCCTGTCATCTACTGGCCTCTAATCTCACCTCTCATTTCCATCTGCCTCCCACCCTTTTCATCCTCTTGCATTCTCTTCATCTCTCTTTCTCTTCCATCTCTTCCTTTCCTACTTCTTTTTCTTTACTTTTTTTTTTTTTTTTTACTTTTCCCTCTTGTTTTTTCTGCCACAGGAAAATCTGAACAAGTTAATGACCAACCTCCGCTCCACCCACCCCCATTTTGTGCGTTGCATCATCCCCAATGAGACAAAGTCCCCAGGTGAGCCATGCACTCAGGCCAGCCCATGGATATGGGCCAGGGACAGGCCCCTATAAGTCATCTCCTAATCTACCACCATTATTCTTTCCAAATGACATTCTTCTCCTATCCCCTGTGAGGTCTCCCAGACCACCTATTCCCAGTGCTACCTTATGTTTGGAATGTGTAATTCTGGATAGCACTTTGATGGACATCACCTCATCAGTGACTTTCAACCCTAAAATGAGAAATTCAAGAACTATCTATCCAGTGTGTGTGTGTGTGTGTGTGTGTGTGTGTGTGTGTGTGTATGCACAACACTAGGAATTGAATCCAGGGGCACACTTTGACTGGGCTCTATCCCCAGCCCTTTTTATTTTTACTTTAAGAGAGGGTCTCACTAAGTTGCCCAGGCTGGCTTCAAACTTGTGACCCTCCTGCCTCAGCTCCCAAGTAGCCAGGATTGCAGGTATGTGCTACTGCACCCAGTTCTGTCTATCCATTTTTATCTGTAAGGAGACAGAAAGAAGCTCAGGGACCTGGGTTCAAGGCCTGGCTCTGATCTTGATCAGCTCTGTGACCTTTGGCAAGTCATTTAATCCATTTGGCTTTAGCCTTCTCCTCCAGAAAAAGGGATATAGCTGTCCTGACCACCACCTATGAAAACAGGTATAAGCCATATAAAAAAAAATGTGAAAGCCTTTGGTTATTCCTAAAAGTATGCTAGGGGAAAAAATGAAACAAATGGAGGATTATTATTATTAACTGACTTGCTAAATTATAGGCTAATAAGTGCCAGGGCCATGATCAGAACCCAGAACTTTTGAGCTCTTATCCCAGTGCTCTCCTTACACAATCTGCTTTTCCCTCTTGCCACAGGGGTGATGGACAACCCCCTGGTCATGCACCAGCTGCGCTGCAACGGCGTGCTGGAGGGCATCCGTATCTGCAGGAAGGGCTTCCCCAACCGCATCCTCTACGGGGACTTCCGGCAGAGGTGGGTACAGATGTGCCCCAGAGTGCAGGAGTCTGCAGGCATCTTTAGAATTCTGTAGGCAGAGCAGAATCTATGTACAGTGCAGTGACCCCAGCAATCCTCTCCCCAGGTATCGCATCCTGAACCCAGCGGCCATCCCTGAGGGACAGTTCATTGACAGTAGGAAAGGGGCAGAGAAGCTGCTGAGCTCTCTGGACATTGACCACAACCAGTACAAGTTTGGACACACCAAGGTGAGGAAAAGCAAGAAACAAATTATTTAAAGGAAGGTGTCTCTTGTCCTTTGATTCCTCACCTCTTGACTCCTTTTGCCAATCATCTGGGGGATACTCTGGACCATGTGCTGTGGTTCAAATGCTCCCCATCCCGGCAAACACCTCTCCCATTCCAGTTCCAAATACCACTGACCTCCTCCCTTCAATTAATTTCTAAATGCTGCTCTTCCCAAGATCATCTCCACCACCTCTTTTCCCTCATACATCTTTCTAGTCACGGCCGACACACACTTTCTCTGCAGGTGTTCTTCAAAGCGGGTCTGCTGGGGTTGCTGGAGGAGATGCGAGATGAGAGGCTAAGCCGCATCATCACACGCATCCAGGCCCAGTCCCGGGGTGTCCTCTCCAGAATGGAGTTTAAGAAGCTGCTGGAACGCAGGTGAGAGATCTCAAAAGGACATTCCCAGCCTCTCTGAGACCCAGACTGGTTCAAAGGCAGTGTCAAGAGAAAGACCTCACTGGGTCTTCAAAAATAAAGGCAAGGGCTCCTGTGGATACATTGTGGTCCCTAGGGTTGAAGGGCCTCAGGAAGGGTGGGATGGATGGAGAAAAGGGGGTGTTACCTAGGAGTCAGGGCCTCAGGTGGGAAGGAGTCAGGAAGGCTCTCTCACCACTCCTCTTGCTGGGCCCTTGCAGAGACTCCCTGCTAATAATCCAGTGGAACATTCGGGCCTTCATGGGAGTCAAGAATTGGCCGTGGATGAAGCTCTACTTCAAGATCAAGCCACTGCTGAAGAGCGCAGAGACAGAGAAGGAGATGGCTACTATGAAGGAGGAGTTTGGGCGCATCAAAGATGCACTGGAGAAGTCTGAGGCTCGCCGGAAGGAACTAGAGGAGAAGATGGTGTCCCTGTTGCAGGAAAAGAATGACCTGCAGCTCCAAGTGCAGGCGGTGAGGTTCCTGGGCCATTATTGGCCCTTCCACCTTTCTCTTCCCATATGTCCCACAACTCTACCCCTCCCCACACAGGGGCTCACCATCTTGTCCTTTCACAGGCAAAATATTTCATTTCCAAAGACCCCCAAGGTGGTCCCTCAGGAGGAGGAAAGGGTAAAAGAACTAATTTTAAAATATATATGCTTTCTTCCTGAGTTCAGTCTAGATCTACAGCTTAATAATTTTATGACCTTAAGGAAACCACAAATCTTTTTTTTTTTTTTTTAATACTAGGGATTGAACTCAGTGGCGCTTAACCACTGAACCACATCCCCAGTCCTATTTTATATTTTATTTAGAGACAGGGTCTCACTCAGTTGCTTAGGCCTTGTTAAATTGCTGACCGGCTTTGAACTCAGCCTCCCAAGTCACTGGGATATAGGAGTGTGCCACCATGCCCAGCCCAGAAGTCATCTTTGAGCCTCAATTTCTTCATCTCTAAATGGAATAAATCTGCCTATCTCACTACATTGTAAATACGTAAAAGTGTTTGGCAACTGCAAATGCAGTTCCCTTTCTTCAAAGGAGAAGTCTAGAGAAAGAGAGACAAATAAAGATGCCTAGCTTCCTCATTCTCTCCTCCTCTGCCCAATACTCCCAACTCACATATTCTAAAACTCTTCCCTTTCCTATCCTTCCAAGACTCTACTCAACTGAGAATACCCTAGAGCTCCACTCCTCTTTGAGGGATGTACCTTTTCCTTCATCTAACCACGAGGACAAGGACTCTGCCTGCTAAACAACCTCCCCTCTGTGCCTTACCCTCAGGAACAAGACAACCTGGCTGATGCAGAGGAGCGCTGCGATCAGCTGATCAAGAACAAGATCCAGCTGGAGGCCAAGGTGAAGGAGATGACCGAGAGGCTGGAGGATGAGGAGGAGATGAATGCTGAGCTCACTGCCAAGAAGCGCAAGCTGGAAGATGAGTGCTCTGAGCTCAAAAGGGACATTGATGACTTGGAGCTGACACTGGCCAAGGTGGAGAAGGAGAAGCACGCAACAGAGAATAAGGTGAGGGCAGCTCCCTCTGACTCCAGCCCAGGTCTCCTCAGGATTCCCAGGCCAGCATATCGTCCTGGTCCTTGACATGGAGGTCCCCAGAGATGTCTCCAGACCAGTGACCTTTGACCTTAAAGGGGCTGGGGTTTGGGATTGACAGGTGAAGAACCTGACAGAGGAGATGGCTGGGCTGGATGAGATCATTGCCAAACTGACCAAGGAGAAGAAAGCTCTGCAAGAGGCCCACCAGCAGGCCCTGGATGACCTTCAGGCTGAGGAGGACAAGGTCAACACCCTGACCAAAGCCAAGGTCAAGCTAGAGCAGCAGGTGGATGATGTAAGTGGACTCAGAGTGACAGGGTCTAGATATAAAATGTCCATCTGTGTTTGAAGGGTGTGGTTGTGTGGCTGTGTGTGTATTTTGGGAGGGGAGTGTTGGAGGAAGTTCACTCTCCTGATACCTTCCTGAAGGAAACTGGGAAAAAGGAAATGAAGAGGGTGATCCATTCTGAATTATGCATCTAATCCCACTGATATGATCAATGATAGAGATGGACTTTCTTATTTAGTTTAGTTTTAAGCCCATATATCTCTTCCTTTGACCACAGGATTTAGGGGACTTCTGGTAAGACTATGATACATGTCTTTGAGAATTTTGTGAGGCTCCTCAAGGAGGATCTTTTCACTTCTGATATTTTTGGCAGATCTGATCATGAGTGATCACTGTTCCCTCAGATGGGTATATATGGCCTATGGATGTCCTCTCACTCTATACTTATTTAAATATCTGTCATAGCTCAAGACTGAGAGCTCCCTTTAGACAGGAACTTGTACAGACACTTGTGTCTGCAGAGCCTAGCACACAGCCTGGCAACAGTAAGTGCTTATACGATGCTGAATGAATGAATATATAGCTTTGAGATTTTGTCCCACAATCATTCCTTCATTCCTTAAATATGTGTCAAGCAGTCTCTCTGTGGTAGGTGCTCTCACAATCCCTGGGAACATTTGGCCCACTCTGGGGAAGTTTTTCCAAGTCTTGGATGCTCCCCTAAGATTCCCCAGATGTGAAGTAACTGAGCTACAAAATCACCAAGTCAGGTGCCTGACCTCATGGGGCATGGCTGGGCCTTGTCTTCACCAGCTGGAGGGATCCCTGGAGCAGGAGAAGAAGGTGCGTATGGATCTGGAGCGAGCGAAGAGGAAACTGGAGGGTGACCTGAAGCTGACCCAAGAGAGCATCATGGACCTGGAGAATGACAAGCAGCAGCTAGATGAGCGGCTAAAAAAGTACAATGTTCTGCTCCCCACTACCTTTCCTCCTCCCCAGCCCTGCAGCCTGCTCTGCCCATAGCAAGACAAGCTGACACCCAACCTGAGAGGCCACGCCCTCAGGCAGCTTCCATAACAAGAAGCTTAAACTTCAGCAAAGGTCCCCCGGAAGAGGGCTGTGCTCCCCAAGACCCATACATCAGGGTCTTGTTGTCCTCTCTGGCAAAAAGTTTCACCTGGATCCCTCAAGCCCTTTCTTCCTATGGGGCACTCAGTAGGGATGAAAACAAGTGCTTGGTCCCTTTTGTACATGACTCTATTGGACATCAGTTCCTTGACATGGAGGAAGCCGTCACACAAGATCTCTCAGGAAAGTCCCTTTGGGTTTTTCAGAGAGAACCCAGAAAGCCTCAAAGAGTTGGGTCTGCCCACATGCCCAAGAAGTGGAGGGGCCAGTTCATTTCTTTTTCTATGTAACTTGTGGTCCCAGTTATTTCAAATCCTCCCAAAGTATACACACCCACCTTCCAGACTTGGTGAATGGTGAGTTGTAGAACATATTTTGATACCTGAGGATCTAATGGTACCTCAACTTGTGTTTGCACTTTCCCAGGTGCAGAATTCACTGAATGAATGAATTGATCTAGGACCCCATTAGTTCCTCAGCCCTCTTTTTTTTTTTTTTTTTTTTTTTTGTACTGGGGATTGAACCCAGAGGCACTTACACTGAGCCACAGAACTTTTTATATTTTATTTAAAGACAGGGTCTTTCCAAGTTGCTTAGCGCCTCTCTAAGTTGCTTGGAACTTATGATACCCCTGCTTCAGCCTCCCCAGCCGTCTTCAGCCACATTTTAAAGATGGTATCTTGAGTCCTACCAAGGAAACTGAGGCTCATAAAGGTTAACAAGTTGTCCAAAGTAGCAAACTAAAAATAAGCTAGTCCAACCTTTTCATTTTTCAGATGGAAGAAAAAAAGAGAGGAAAGACCCACAGAGCCCAGTTTACCAGGCTATTCCCACTACATTATGGTTGGACTTCGATCCTATGACAGATGTTCAGGGATCCTACATACCCCTGGACAATTTTCTGATTAAATCCTATTCTCTATTTGTTTCATTGTAATCTCCAGTGATTGCTATTGGGCCTCGAGAGAACACAGCTAGCCTTACCTCACCCTCACTTCTTCCCTACAGGAAGGACTTTGAGCTGAATGCACTCAATGCCAGGATTGAAGATGAACAGGCCCTGGGAAGCCAGCTGCAGAAGAAGCTCAAAGAGCTTCAGGTGAGGTCTAGAAAGCCCAGGCTGGACACTGCAGTCCTTGAGTTGGTTCTCAGGCTCCCTGCTTCCCTCCTGCAGGATATCCCATCCCCGAGAATTATAGGAGCTTACCTTGTGTTCATGAAAGGACACACAAAGCTATCACAGTGTCCCCTAAAAGGGCTGTGTCGTTCAAGGAAAACATCAGAAGAGACCCTGAAAAGGTCTAGGTCTGGAGGGTAGAAATCCTGGTTTCCTGTCTCAGCTTGGCCTTAGCTGGGTGAATATGGGAAGACTGCTCCAGATTTCTGGGTCTTCATGCCTTCCCCTGTTACTGGTGACTGTTAAGAGCCTTTCAACACTGACAGTGAATTCTGAGGTTCTTATCTCAACAGCAGACACTGAGTTAGATCTACAGTTGTCTAATAAGACAGATACTGCTTTTAAACTTTGGTCTTTTTTTTTTCCTTTTAACTGATTTAAATGCCCCAGACCTCTTTGACCTTCAAGATCAAGCTTCAACTGCTTTCCTTTCAATAAAAAGAATGTATAGCATCCACCCAAAGGAAGGCTAACTCTGCTGTTCAAGCCACCTTCCCCAAATGCTTTCATGCCCACCTCTCTAGTAGAGCTAAATTCACTTAATGTTCCCAGCAGGCTAGGAGTCTTAGAGCCTTGGGGTGGGGGCCCAATGGAGGGGTCCAAGCAGGTGGTCTAAACTCTTCACATCTGGGCCCAGGCACGCATTGAGGAGCTGGAGGAGGAGCTGGAGGCTGAGCGCACGGCCAGGGCCAAAGTGGAGAAGCTGCGCTCAGACCTGTCCCGAGAGCTGGAGGAGATCAGTGAGAGGCTGGAGGAGGCCGGAGGGGCCACATCTGTGCAGATCGAGATGAACAAGAAGCGAGAGGCCGAGTTCCAGAAGATGAGGAGGGACCTGGAGGAGGTCACGCTGCAGCACGAGGCCACAGCTGCAGCCCTGCGCAAGAAGCACGCTGACAGTGTGGCCGAGCTGAGTGAGCAGATTGACAACCTGCAGCGGGTGAAGCAGAAGCTGGAGAAGGAGAAGAGCGAGTTCAAGCTGGAGCTGGACGATGTCACCTCCAACATGGAGCAGATCATCAAGGCCAAGGTGAGCCCAGCTCCACCCGTTCCCTCCTCCAGGTCCCTCTACCTATTACCACTTTTCCCCCTTTTTTTCTTTCTTCCTTGATGGCTCCTTTTCCTACTCGCCTTCTTCTACATGGTTCTCCAATCCCTTCCTCCCTTCCGTATTTTCCCTCTTCTTTTCTCCTTTGATTGCTCCCCTTCACTACTTTCAGCCCCCACCCCCAACATCCATGCATTGTTCATCCCTCTCTCAGGCAAACCTGGAGAAGATGTGCCGGACTCTAGAGGACCAGATGAATGAGCATCGAAGCAAGGCTGAGGAGACCCAGCGTTCTGTCAATGACCTCACCAGCCAGCGGGCCAAGCTGCAGACTGAGAATGGTAAGTTGGATCCCAGTATCTGGGCCTCCTGAGCCACCGCAGGCTCAGGTACACACACCCTTCACATGCACATGCATAACCTCTCTGAAGAAAATGGGTTCTGAGGGTTAGGGAGGGGTTGGGGAGAGAGAGGAATGGCTGACTTTCAAAAGTTGAGAGTGCCTTGGTGCCTCCCCAGGTGAGCTGTCCCGGCAGCTGGATGAGAAGGAGGCACTAATCTCCCAGCTGACCCGAGGCAAGCTCACCTACACCCAACAGCTGGAGGACCTCAAGAGGCAGCTGGAGGAAGAGGTTAAGGTGAGGCCTGGACTCCAGCAACCAGGCCCAAGCAAGAGGCACACCAACTGGCCTTGCATCTGCATCCCTTCCTTTCCCAAGAATGAAGCTTGCTGTCTATCCACTAGTGTCTGAAAATCCCCAAAAGAAATAATAACCCAAACCCTACCACATGCTTTCTAACTCTGTTTCCCAGGCCAGGGCCCTGAACCTCTCTGCTGCCATCCCTGGGTAGAAGATAGGGGGTGAAGAGGTGGCAAGAAAATAAAGTAGGGAGGCAGGTTATAGCCTTGTCTGGGCATAAGTATGGGATGCAGGGACTTCGTGAATGGGTCCTGGGATTAGTGGGACCATCTGAAAACTGAAGAAAGACATTAAACTGGACCTCTTCCTAGCACTTTGCTGAATTTATGAAAAAAGGGAAAGAACCCGAGTTAAAGAGTCATCAGGGCTCAACACTAACCTGCCTCGTATAGCCTGGTGATCTTGGGGAAACCTCCTGACCGCTCTGAGTCTCTCTTTCCCCCATAAGTGGCAGTGGTGACATGGCTGCCATGGTACTGGTGCTCATTGTTATTAATACTCAGCAAAATGTGCCAGGTCCACTGGGGAAGCCAAGGGAGCAAATTGAGATTGGCGTGAGGAGATGGGCAAGGGCTGGTGTTGCCTCATGGGTGAAGCTAACCCTGCTTCTGGTGTCCACCTCTCCCTAGGCCAAGAACGCCCTGGCCCACGCACTGCAGTCGGCCCGGCATGACTGTGACCTGCTGCGGGAACAGTATGAGGAAGAGACAGAGGCCAAGGCTGAGCTGCAGCGTGTCCTATCCAAGGCCAACTCAGAGGTGGCCCAGTGGAGGACCAAGTATGAGACAGATGCCATCCAGAGAACAGAGGAGCTCGAGGAGGCCAAGTGAGTTCCAATCAGCTGGCCTTTGGCTGAAGCCCCTTTGAGGTCAGGACTTTCTGCCCAGTCCTCTTCTTAGTAGCTGCCACACAGGGGATGTTTAGCTAGTGTTTGACAGTAGAGGAGAACCCTGCCCCAGCCCCACCTCCTGCTCCTCTCGGGGAAGCTTTTTGCTCGCGTTATGTTTCTCATCCGAATATAAGACGAACAAAAGGTTTGTCTGAGGGCTGAGTGCTCCCGTGGGGCGAGGCACTGTGGCATGGGAGGGGAGGGTCTGCAGAAGCCCACGCCCCCTCCACATCACAGCCCAGAGGCTGGTCTAGGGACAGAGGGACACCACCCCCACTCCTCCCAGGTGCTGCAGGTCTTCCATGCCTGCCACCAAGATACTCTGCCTGCCCAGTTCTCAGTCCCTGGGGCCTGACCTTAGCCTTCTCTGAACACTAATTCTAAGTTTTCAAGGTTGTCTTCTGAAAGGCTCATGTTGTTTTCTCTTGTCCAAATCTACACCCTCGTTCTTCCTCATCCTCTCCCACCCTTCACTGGGCAGGAAGAAGCTGGCCCAGAGGCTACAGGATGCAGAGGAGGCCGTGGAGGCCGTCAACGCCAAGTGCTCTTCCCTGGAGAAGACCAAGCACCGGCTGCAGAACGAGATCGAGGACCTGATGGTGGACGTGGAGCGCTCTAACGCTGCCGCTGCGGCCCTGGACAAGAAGCAGAGGAACTTTGACAAGGTGGGCCATGGGTGGGGCCACAGCCAGTGTGTAGATCTGGAGGGCCATAGGCATGGTACTAGTGCTGGGGAGGAAGGCTGAGCTCAGGCCAGGGATCTGGAGCACCTGGACATGGGACTGGACGCGGAGGCTGCACAGTGAGCCTCGTCCCTTGCAGATCCTGGCCGAGTGGAAGCAGAAGTATGAGGAGTCACAGTCAGAGCTGGAGTCTTCACAGAAGGAGGCTCGTTCCCTCAGCACCGAGCTCTTCAAGCTCAAGAACGCCTATGAGGAGTCGCTGGAGCATCTGGAGACCTTCAAGAGGGAGAACAAGAACCTGCAGGGTGAGCGGCCCCAAGGCAGGAACTACAGGGGCAGGAAGGGTCATGTGGGTCAGAGTGAGCCAGGTTTTGAGCTTTCTGACCCTCTCACCCCCAGAGGAAATCTCGGATCTGACTGAGCAGCTGGGAGAAGGAGGAAAGAATGTGCATGAGCTGGAGAAGGTCCGCAAGCAGCTGGAGGTGGAGAAGCTGGAGCTGCAGTCAGCCCTGGAGGAGGCCGAGGTGAGGTGGCCTTCCCAGCACTGCCCCCCAGCCTGTCCTGCTGTCTTCCACCTCCCCCTCACCCTGGAGTGACCTTGACCCCAGGACAAAACATATTAGTGAAAGGCTATCTACTGCCCCACTACCCATGACTACCTCTAATGCCAAGGTCTGCACAAAGGGAAATGTCAGTCTTAATTTTAGGCAGAAGGTTTTTTAAAGTTGGAATCTGGCCTCATGATAATCACTCAGACAGTGGGGACCTGAATTTGAAATGGCTTGAGGACCAAGTTTCCTCTGTGTCATTGGACATTAACCTCTCTGTGCGTCGGTGTCCTTTTCTGTTAGATGACATTAATATAACATACCTCCAAGATTGTGTGTATGATTATTATGAAGATTAACTGATGTGATCTGCTCAAGCACTTAATTTACATTAGCTATTGTTTCTATGCATTTTTAAGGCACTGGGAACAGCCCTGAGTTTGGGACTTCTAATTTTTTTCTCACTCAAGGAGAGGGACCTAGTAAACAAAGAGAGTTTTACATTATAGAAATCCCTCTTTTTTTCTGTGATCTTAAAGTGGGTCGAGAATCCCTGCCATGTTAGTGCCAGGGGTCTGGCATCCGACAGGTTCAAACTCCTCCCTTCACAGAGGAAGACCCATGAGTCAGGAAGCCCAGGAAGTCCAGCACTTCCTCCCCAACAGGATCTTGGGTGCAGGGCCCACCTCCCCATCTCTTCTTCAGGCCACAGTCCTGGTGATTCCTGTCATCTTCTGGTCCTCCCTCCCGGTCCACCCTGGGCCCTAACTGTCGGCCTCAGACCTCTCTCCCCACCCTCCTTCTAGGCCTCCCTGGAGCATGAGGAGGGCAAGATCCTTCGAGCCCAGCTGGAGTTCAACCAGATCAAGGCAGAGATTGAGCGGAAGCTGGCAGAGAAGGACGAGGAGATGGAGCAGGCCAAGCGCAACCACCTGCGGGTGGTGGACTCGCTGCAGACCTCCCTGGATGCAGAGACACGCAGCCGCAATGAGGCCCTGCGGGTGAAGAAAAAGATGGAGGGCGACCTCAATGAGATGGAGATCCAGCTCAGCCATGCCAACCGCATGGCTGCTGAAGCCCAGAAGCAAGTCAAGAGCCTCCAGAGCTTGTTGAAGGTACACAGAGACTCTTGGAAGCAGGAGGTCACCTCTTCCAGAAAGGGGATTGGCTTCCATGGGTCCTTTTTAAGGGGACACCAGCCCCCTCCTGCCCTCGGTCATTGCAGAGACCTTTATCAGGTCCCTGCTAAGCTACTGCAATAGGCTCTCAGCCAGGCCAATAGGACAGCCTCAGAGGCCCAGAAGCACCTGAAGACCGCCCAAGCCCATCTGAAGGTAACAGGAGCTGAGGCTCTCAGAAGATGGGGAGCCCAGAGGAATGGTGAAGGCCATAAAAAGTGTCTTGGGCTAACAAAGATGAGAAAGTAGGAGCTGCCTGTCTCCCGGATTTGGAGGCTTGATGATTAGAATGTTCTGGACCAGTCCAGCCTCCAGGATAGAGAATTATTGAGGGAACATGCCCCTGTTTCCTCATTTGACAAGAGGTTGATGAATGTAGGATGGGGTGTTATCAGAGCCAGAATGGGAGGCCTGATGGTACAGGGTCCAGGCCTATTCTCATCATGCTTTCCCCTCAGGACACCCAGATCCAGCTGGATGACGCAGTCCGCGCCAATGATGACCTGAAGGAGAATATCGCCATCGTGGAGAGGCGCAACACCCTGCTCCAGGCTGAGCTGGAGGAGCTACGGGCCGTGGTGGAGCAGACTGAGCGGTCACGGAAGCTGGCTGAGCAGGAGCTGATTGAGACCAGTGAGCGGGTGCAGCTGCTGCACTCCCAGGTGAGGGGTTCAGAGGCTATCATGTGGAACCCTGCTGAGTGTCAGAGCCCAAGACATCTACAGAAACCAGGTGTTCCAAGTGAGCATGTCCAACTAGGATTTCAAATGATTTCACTTGGGCCATCACTCATCTGTTAGTAGCAGCTGACAGAACCACTATTTTGAGAAGTTTTACATATAAAGTCTAGAAAAAGCTAAAGGTGTCATGATTGATTGGTGATGGCTGCCAAAGTCACAAATTTGGGAGTAGTAGAATGCATGCTGTTATTGGATACCCTTGACCTAGAAGACAGCCTCCATTTTGCTCTGTAAAGATGGGAGTCTAAAGAAGTATATCTGAATCTCTTTGCCACCTGAACTACAGAGAGAATACCATTTTCTGCAATTCCATTCACACTATTTTCAATTATACTCTGCAGTGGGTGTTTGTGCCCATCTATTGAAGTGCCCTGTGGAGTTTTGTCTTGTAATTTAATGTGTGTGCATGAATGACACCATCTGATGACCTACTGTCCTCTTTTAGCCCACTCCATTCTTTCTCTAACTATAACCACTTCCAGAATATTGTCCTAGTGTGAAACTTGGTTTTGTTTTCCTTGGATTATTTTCATGCTCCTACATAAACATGCAACTGAAGAGTTCAGGAGTAGAACTGTGGACCTTTTGCTGTTTGAAATCTTTCTTCAGAGATGAGTAGTTTTACATATAAAGTCTAGAAATGATCTGTAGGAAAGGGTAAAACAGGTGCAAATCAATGTCTATCCCAAAAGCAGGGCTTCTTGTTTTAATGTGGCCCCTTTCAATTCTCTCTGGATAGTGGTGTGAAATCCAATAACAAAGTATATGATCGTTTTCTCTACTCATATCTAGAACACCAGCCTCATCAATCAAAAGAAGAAGATGGAGTCAGACCTGACCCAGCTCCAGACTGAAGTGGAGGAGGCAGTGCAGGAGTGCAGGAATGCCGAGGAGAAGGCCAAGAAGGCCATCACAGATGTGAGTCCCCCACCCTGCTCACCCACTCCAGGCCCGTGTCCCCTGGGCTAGGCAGTGAGGGTGTGAAGACTTGACCACACCATGTACCCCCGCTTTCCTGTGCACAGGCTGCCATGATGGCAGAGGAGCTGAAGAAGGAGCAGGACACAAGTGCCCACCTGGAGCGCATGAAGAAGAACATGGAGCAGACCATCAAGGACCTGCAGCACCGGCTGGACGGACGAGGCTGAGCAGATCGCCCTCAAGGGTGGCAAGAAGCAGCTGCAGAAGCTGGAGGCCCGGGTGCGGGAGCTGGAGAATGAGCTGGAGGCAGAGCAGAAGCGCAATGCAGAGTCAGTGAAGGGCATGAGGAAGAGTGAGCGGCGCATCAAGGAGCTCACCTACCAGGTGCGGGCAGATGGATCAGAAGCAGATGTGGCAGCTGCTTCGCCAGCACACACAGGGCACCTGCTGAGCTGCTGTCCAGGATTGCCGGGCTGCACACCCATCACCTGCTCTTTGAGATATTGTTTGTAGATTTATTTTTCTTTCTGACCCTGGAGTCAATTCCACTTGCATCCATGAATTTTTGTAGCAAAAATGGAAAATTCACTTCCATTTTAACCAGAAACCTCTTTTAACCAGAATCCCCCCAGAGTTCTTTGTTTAATTCTTTTTTTGCAGTGCTGAAAATCAAATCCGGGGATTTGTGCATTCTAGGCAAGAGGTTTACCACCGATCTATGTTCCCAGCACCCCTGCCCCAGGAGTTTTCTAAAACCCAAAGTTATAAAAACATGGTAGCCAAAGTGCTACCATGAGTGCTACCACGAAAGCTTCAGAATAGTCGGAAATCTTTCCACTTACTACCAGCCTGACAGGGAGACATGAGTCAGGTGATGGGAAAAGACTCGGAGTTCTTCCAGGAACTTCTGGGACCCACCAAAAAAAAAAAAAAAAAAAAGCCTTCGAGAAAAACCTCCACCTGCATAGCTCAGAGCCTTCTGAGCTATGCAGGTGGAGGTTCTGGAAAGTAAGACCAAGAAGATGGAGATGTTGGTCCATTTGATAGGTGGATATCAGAGGCATAGGAAAGAGATTATAGATAGAGAACTGCAGATTTTTATGGATAAAGATGGAAAGGGCATCCTAGCACATACATGATATGAAAATAGGAATGATCAAATGACATTGGAATCAGTGATCCTGGTGCCCAGATTTTGGCCCAGGGCAATGTATTAGAATATTAGGCTGTGATAGATTAGAATAATCTGGACAGGGGTGGGGATATAGCTCAGTTGGTAGAGTACTTGCCTCTCATGCACAAGGCCCTGGGTTCAATCCCCAGCACCACACACACAAAAAAAAAAAAAAAATAGGGATAATCTGGACAATGATAATATCCCCTTCTTTCTTCCTTCCTCATTATCTCTCTCTGGTCATCTCAAGAACCACTATGCAATAGCACCCAAGTTGTTCCAGGTGGGAACTCTATCCACCAGATCAAGGCTGGAACAGGCCAAGTGCATCCAAATGACCACATTAGAGAATTCTATTAGGTTCTGAGCCCCTTCCCTGACTTCCAGCATTTGGACCACAAGCCTCATTGCTTTGTGAGTCCCTGACTTAGAAGCTTGCCCTGCTCCTTTGACCTACAGTTAGAAGCAGAGATGGACCCTTACCTACCACCTCCTTGATCTGGGCTATTGGAGGGAGGAAGAGTGGTTGAGGCCTGGGGAGAAGAGTGGAATAGGGAAGACAAAAAGGTAATTGCACTTTCTGTTCTCTGAAAACTGGTTTCTCCCACCCACACACTCCAGACAGAGGAGGACAAAAAGAACCTGCTGCGGCTGCAGGACCTGGTGGACAAGCTGCAGCTGAAGGTCAAGGCCTACAAGCGCCAGGCTGAGGAGGCGGTGAGTTTGTGGTTTTCTCCCTTCTTTCATCAACATACCTACTATGTGTGAGAGCCCATGAATATTTGCCATAGCCAGGCCTGGACGAAGGGTCAAGTCTAATCTTTATCAGACATTAACTGTATATGTCTGTGAGCTCCGAGCTGTGTCAGGCACTCTGAGTTCATGATGTAGTGACCCAGCACCTGCCCCACAGCTGCCCATAGTCCACTCACCATAAACCCGAGGGAAAGCAGTGGAGAGGGACCATTGGTGTTGAAGGCAGGAAGAAGGCCATGGAGTTAGAACCAGGCCTGAAAGGGAATCTGACTAGGCATAACACAGTAAGGAATACATCTGGTGAGCAGGAAAGTGTGGGCATGAGGTATGGATGAGCATATCTATGCAGGAAATTCCAGGGTCAGCAAGCATCTGAGTTATGATTAGAATAGGTGCAGTGAAGCTGGACTCTGGGGTGGGGAGAGAGCCATATCAAAGAGCATGGCATTTATCCTGGGCACTGGATGGCTGCGAAATATTCTAAATGCTGGACAAGTTTGAGGAAGGTGTAATGTCAGGTGCATGAGACCCTTTAAGGCTGTTGCAGGAACTTGGGTAAGAAGTGAGTGGTTCAGAGACAGGGAGCTGGTCTCAGGCCCCATCCTCACATCCTCCCCCTCCCCATAGGAGGAGCAGGCCAACACCAACCTGTCCAAGTTCCGCAAGGTGCAGCACGAGCTGGATGAGGCAGAGGAACGGGCCGACATCGCTGAGTCCCAGGTCAACAAGCTTCGGGCCAAGAGCCGTGACATTGGCGCCAAGGTGGGTCTCTCCCTTGGTCTGTACTAGTCAGACAGGAATCTCTGCAGAGAGCCCAACCCCATTCTCTCATCCACTAAACTATAGACACCCCTAACATGGGATCCCAAGATCACTGAAGCCTAACTGCCCCCACTTTCTTTGGTGGTTCTGGGGATTGAACCCAGGGCTTTGTACATGCTAGGCAAGTACTCTACCACTGCACTGCATTCCCAGCCCTAACCTCTCCCTTTCTATGGGTGTCTCTCTTGGCTCCTGAAAGCCCTAGTGACCCAGCACCTGCCCAACAGCTGAATCTTCCCCAAACCTTCCTCCCTCTTGTCAGCCGCCTCTCACACCCCCTTTTCCTTTCTCAGCAAAAAATGCATGATGAAGAGTGATGCTGCCTCCAAAACCTGGCTGATGCTCACCCACAATAAAATATGAGACCTGACACTGCTGTGCCTTTTTGTTCTTCCCACCGGAAGCCCATCCTGGATCAAGAGAGCTGGTGGCCATAGCCCCTGTATCAGAGCTGTGGGAATCAAAGCACCTCACATCGTTAGAGGAGGAAACCAAGCCCAGAGAAGTGAGGTGTCCTGCTTGGCAGCATGAGTCCTAGCTCTGCTTGGTCAATCCCAAGGAAGGGGGACAGAAATTTTAGCAGTGGAAGAAATAAAGACACCAACAGGGTGAGCCAATTATAGACAGTGAGATACAGAATTTTGGTGTCAAAGCGGAAGCTACCCTCTGCCTACCCATCTCTGAGGCCACTACCGGCATTAACATTGTCCTGGAATATCTGATCTTTGCAAACAAATTTTCTGCTGATACCCAACATGGTTCAGAGCTGGCCTAGGAGGGAGGCACAGGGAAAGGATGTGGAAAAGGTCCCATTCTAGTTAGCTCCTTGGAAATAGCTCACAGGAATTACCCCCAGCAGCCCCAGGGGTCTGACTCCCAGCCTCTGTGGGTTAGCATCTCCCCATGAGGGTATCCCAGGACTCCAGGGCCAGCCAATGCTGAGCCCATTCAGTATGCAGGGTGGATGAAGTGTGGCAATGCTCATCCATTTTTACTGTCCCACAGACATGGACAAGCACAGAGGCATACACAGGCACTCACCATTGAGCAAGGTTCTCCTGTCTCTGAGCTTTTACTGAGGACCAGTCACATAGTTGCTCAGGGTTCAGCTGGTTTAACTTCCTTTTGCTCAAAGTAAAGCTCTACCCTCCATTGGACTTTTTGACAAGGCTCTCCAGACTACCTTCTCATTCTTTTACCTGGCACCCCGCTCCCCAACTCCACTAGTTGATCTTCTTCTATCCCTCCTTTCAGGTGGTGCCCATCCAATCACATTTCTGCCAGGTCAGCCACCTCATCTTGAGAATTAATTATACATAAAACCTGAGAGCTGTGAGTAGAATCCAGGAAAAAAAAATCCAGTTGGTTCTAGACTTGGAGAACCTGCCAGGAGAGGCTGTCAGATCTGATGAGGAGCCAGGGCAAAAGGATAGGAGAACAGAAAACAGGAGGCAGGAAAAGTCAATCCAAGAGAGGAGTGGGCAGGACCCAGGAAGCAGAGCACCACCCCAGAGCTCAAGATCCAAGGTCCAGGCAGGGCTTGGGGACTGGGGCCTGCAACTGTAAGGAGCACCCCAAAAGATAAAAGAAGGCATTTCATAACAGGAACAATCAAGCACTCGGGATAGGGAACAGCAAGTCAGCTGATTGTAGCCACTGAGCTGGGCCCTGTCTTAGACTGGGCAGGGAAATCCTGGCTGCACTGAACTCCATGGACCAGGCCAGGTTGATTCCCAGGCTGTGGGTGCTGCTCCAAACTCTTAGAGCTGAGCTCTCCCATAGCTTTCATTGTGGGAAGCCCTCCACCAGCCTGTCTCCCAATCTGTGAGGGCTCATGGACAAGGCTTCACCTCTGAATGCCTGATACGCAGCACAGGGACAAAATGTGCTCTGAGGAACCAGCAAGCTGAGAAAGAGAGCCCATTGGTGGAGAGAGCTGCAGATGAGGCTGGTCTATTGTTTTCAGAGCTACAAGGGAGCTTCATATCATACTGTATCTAGAACACCTGTCTAGGTGTTAGGACAGCTGGCTTCTAGCCCTAGTTCTGTCAACAAATCAGTAGGTCACTTCTCCTGAGCCCCAATTTTCACTTATGTAGAATGAGGGTATTGACCTGCTGATATCTAAGAGCTCTTCTACTGCCAGCATTTTGTGAATTTCTTCTTATGAAGCCCCTGACTGCCCTCTTCCCTGCCGCCTGCCGGCCAGGTCCTCCCCAAACCACAAGGGGGAGCTCTACACAAGCCCGGGGCAAGCACCTCGGCTCAAGCCTACTGAGGTGAGCACAAGTAGATGGGGGGCACCTCCTCACATCAGGACTCAGAACTCCAGGTGCCCAGTCACCAGGCACACAACAGAGTGGCCTTGAGCACAGCATTTCAGAAATCTCTCCCTCTGCTACCTCAGGCTGTGGAGCATTTTTTGCTTTGGTGAATGTCTTTAGCTTCTTCAGGCTGGCTCCCACCTCCTCACTGCTTGGACTGGTCTCAGATAGGGATCATGGCCTGCTCCAGGCAACATTCCCATGAATACTACTTGGCATTCCTAATCTGCCTTAATTTCTGGGGAACAAGAAGACTCAATAGTAGGATTTGAATCTTTTAATTTGGGGGCCCAGTTTCCTTCCCTCCCCTCTTCCCCCTCCTCCTCTGGACAGAACCTCATCAGGAACCAGGCTCAGGGCACCAGGCTCCACAGATACATCCCCACTGACTTCTTGGGCAGACGCCTCTGTAGACCTGGTGTGGGGGATGGTGGCCAGGGGGTCAATGAATCCAAAGGAGACATATCTGGGCTTCATGGTTCCCTGTGTCTGGGCGGGCTTGGGAGACAGCCCAGGAGTCACTGCTGAGTCCCTGTGAAGATGGAACCAGGCATGGAAGCCATGTCAGGCTGGGGCAGCTAGGGTGGGGATAGGGGCATCTCAGGGAGCAGACTCACCCTGGGTGGCTCTGGGTGCCATCTCAGTCTGGTAGATCTTCAAGGCATCGTAGGCAAAGACCGATACCAGGATGATACCAAACACCTGTGGGAAGAAGGTCAACATGGCACAGCAGAGGCTATTGAGCCATCGGACCAAGAGAGAGGGAGGTGGATGTACAGGGAGAGGGGTGAGCCAGACCCCAGGCATTGGCTTCCACTTTGGACACAAGAAATGTCCAAGCATCAGCCAGAGGTCCTAAGGAACCAGAGTGCCCCACAGGACTGGACTCACGAAAGCAGCAATGGCAGCCCCTTCCCTGGAGGTCACAGCAGCAAAGGAGACCACGAGGAAGATGATGATGGCACTGAGGCAGCGGAGGAAGTCCTGGGGAGCCAGGGATGTCAGAAGGCAGGGAGAAATCACCCAGAGGTTTACCAGGCTAGTCAGCAGCCTGACCCTCGGGGACCCTGAATTTCTATATAGGGATGGCCCTGGACACTTTCAAGAGAGCTCACAATGCTATCCAGGGAATAAGAACAGAGTCCACAGCAGCCAAGGACTGGGCAGAGTCAGCCCAAGCCAGTGGCTGAGCTTCCCAGCCTGCAGGCCCAGGCAGGGCAGGGCTGAGGCTGGGCCTCTGGTGAGCGGGAGGGCAGACTTAAGGGATGTATATCCTCCTTGTTCGCAGGGACCCTGTAGCTGTGAAATCTGTCTGGGTAAAAGCACAGTGTGGAATACAGGGCATAACCTGGGACAAAGCCCAGCTGGGTGTGGAAGTGGAGGGGAGCTGGGAGAAGAGAGGAAAACTCAGCAATTGGATAGAAGGATGGACCAAGATGGGGTGAGGGAGGCAGGGTTCCTCACCAGACAGGGCCAGTTAAGCTGGTCGAAGCGCTGGTAGTACTGGGTGGCGTAGAAGAAGAGGAAAGTGAGCGTGATGAGGAACTCCAGCAATGCCGCGGCCATATAGGCGGAGATGGAGGCCGTGAAGCAGATGAAGATGATGAAGGTCAGGGCCTGCAGGACCGAATGTGGAGATCTAGCCAGGAAGGGGACACATGCACAGGCCTGACCTTGGCCTTTCCCTCCTCGGGAACCCCACAGGCTGGCACCCACCTCCCATCCTTGGAGAGGATAAGGAAGAGCTCTGGCATGTCTCCCGTTCCTGGTGTCGGGGACACCATTCCAGGCATTTGACCATAGAGGGCCATCTCTAGCCCCAGGGACCCCAGTAACCTTAGCAGTTAGGCCAAGCTGCACAGCTCCAGGGAGTATGAGCCTATGGTGATCCTCTAGAGTGATGTCCCCCAGGAGTACACAGTAGGCCTCTGGAGTTGTGCCCACAAAGGCCCTGCACCTCAGGAGGTGGCCCCTGGCCCACAATGCTCTTCCCACTCTCAGATGTCCTAAACTTCTCTGATGAGAACCAGAGCCTTTATTCCACACCAAGAGAGAAGGCTTAGAAGGCAGGTGCTCCCCAGCTATACAGGATGACAGAGAGGCAGAGGCCTTGCTAAGGAACTGGGGGAAGAGTCTTCCTGAAAATAGATGTTCATGGGCAGCAGCCAGCAGATAAAGCAGAGCTGTAGGAAATCTGCCCTTTTTGGTAGTTGGGTTTCCTAGGCATGCCAACAAGTGGTCACCCTGGAGGCTGGGAAAAGACAAGCCAGCTTTTTATCCCTGTCCTATCCCTATGTCCAATCCCTCCATGTCCCAGGAAGCTGCCCTTTTGTCTAACTTCAACCCATCCTGCTGCAACTGAAACCTGCTCCAAATGGAGAGGCAGCAAGAAAGCTGAGCAGGAGATGAAGAAGGTGCAGCTGGAGACGGGAGAAGCTCGAAAAGAGAATTGCTGGGCTGTGAACCTGGGAACCCAGCTCAAGGCTGGTGGGCCAGGGAGCTGGGGATGGGGGAGACAGAAGCACCAGATTGGGGAGGCAGCTGTTACCAGCTCAGTTTCCAGCAGGATGCCTTTGAGAGAAGAGAAGAAGGTCTTGTCCACAGCGAAGCCCTGGAGCTCTGCAGCTGCCCCCTCCTCAGGGGGCCGGTCCCGGCGATTCCAAGCACTGAACATCTCCGTGGGGACCACTGGGCACGGCCCCACCCACCCACACACACACTGCCACCAGCCCAGGAAGGGACCCAGAAACCCTGCAGGATGAGAAAGCAGACAGGAGCAAGAGCCACTTGGATAAACCTGAAAGTGAAGCAGAGAGGTCTGCTGGGGGCCCAGGAAAAGGCAGCCGCTGGGGAGGCCTCCCAGATGGGCCTTCACCAGGCTGCCCAGAGAGCCTCTGCTGTTGCCTGCACCAGCCCCCTAGGAGGACGCTGGGAGGGCTGAGAGGCGTGGCCAACCCCTCCCCTTACTGGGAGCCCAACCCAGCCTGGAAAAGGGGAGAAGGAAGACGGGGAGAAGGAGGTCAGAAAGAAACTACAGGAGCTGGGAGTAAGCATTAGACAGGGGAAAGAGTAAGACACCTCACAACACCTCTTTGACCTAAGCCTGAATAAGTTTATTTCCCCCTCCTATAACCTTAACCCTCTTCCTTGGCTGGTCCTTTCTCCCTTGTCCTTTTAAGGAGGGTGAGAGCTGGAGCCCAGCCCAGGCAGCACCCTCAGGACCAAGCTGCAGCAGAGGACAAAGGCAGATTGTTGGGGAGACAAGGGGGCGCTGTATGCCTGCTGCAGTGCCTCAATGGGCCTCTGTCTCTCCAGCATGCCAGGAGGAGGTCTGACCCTTCCCTGGTGTTCAGGGCTGGGTCAGGGAGCCAGAGAGTGAAAGGGATGGGAGAGTGCAACAGAAACTGCATGGCATGGAGAGCTGGCAGGGCGGGCAGTAGGTGAGGGCTGGTGGTAGGAAGGAGGAGGTGGTGGGCTGAGGGCCGTGGGATGTTCGGGCACCATGGATGCCGAAGACAAATTAGGCCATTTTTAAATACAGATATTTATTTGGATAAATCTCTCCACATTCAATAACAGCTTCCTCCTCAGAATGATCCATGTCAAAGGACTTGTAACTACACTAGGACATGTGCAAAGTAGAAGATCACTGAGTGTTTGATGAATGAATGAATGAATGAATGAACGAACAAATGAAATGAGGGGCAACCGGGCAAATATGAAGAAAGTTCCTGTGCTGGGCCAGGGCAGCTAGAGATGGGAGGATAAGAAGAGTGTGGCCTCCAGAAATGGGCAGAGCTTTGAAGGCCTTTTCTGAAAGGAAATGCCAGGACAACAGATTCCAGCAGCCACAAGCTGCAGTTGCTCCCTTCCAAAAGTGCTTCCAAAAAAGTGCTAAAGTGGGGGGCTGGGGATATAGCTCAGTTGGTAGACTGCTTGCCTCGCATGCACGAGGCCCTGGGTTCAATCCCCAGCACCTCAAAAAAAAAAGTGCAAAAAAAAAAGTGCCAAAGTGTGTGTTCTCCCCAAGGCCTCCGTCCTGTCCGAGGAGCTTGCTGATGCAGGTGGTGCTTCGGAGGGACCAAGCATGTGGGTATCTTGGCCTACCATGGCAAGATGGTTGTGTACCTGGCTGCAGTCTTACAGATAAGGATCTGGTGTCAGGTAGGTGGCAGGCATGACTAGGCCATCACACGGGGCCGTACACACACACAAGCCAAGGAGACGCGGTAGAGCCTACGCTCCAGGCAGTAGCCATGGTGGGTGCCCCTTTCACCATGGCATGGACGCCGGTAGAAGACGGTCTGGTTGTGGTAGAGCAGCTCCGAGTTGCCCAGGGGGTCCATGTGAGAGCCCGTCTGTAGGCTGACGCAGTGTGGACACAGGCAACGGGCGTGATACAGATCCTGGGGGAGCCGGTTCAAGTCCCTGTCCAACCTGTGGGGATGCAACTGGTCAGTCCCTGAAGAGATAGGCCAGAGCAGGGAGGGCCAGGTGGGATGGGGCTGCTAGAGGAAGAACATGGGGGCCTGACTTCTTGTCTCAGTTCTGGAACCCACATGCTGTGTAACTTTGAAGAAGTAATCACCCTGCTCGCTGGGATTTATCTTCCCTGACTGAAAGTGAATGTAGGGGACAAAAGAGTGGTTTTCCATCTGGTCCTGTTCTGGAGCCCTTCAGGAGGCAGGGGACGGTAAGCAGGCTTCTGCCTCCACCTCCACCAGACCAAGTTCTTCTTCCATATGATATCGAGCTGGGCTTTAGCATGAGGTTTCTTAGGGTAATTATTACATTTCAGGTCTTTTAAAATTATAATTGTTAAGCCAGGCACAGTGTCGCACACCTGTAATCCCAGTGGCTCTGGAGATGGAGACAGGAGGATCTCGAGTTCAAAGCCAGCCTCAGCAAAAGCAAGTTGCTAAGCAACTCAGTAGAACCCTGTCTCTAAATAAAATATAAAATAGGGCTGGGGATGTGGCTCAGTGGTGGAGTGCCCCTGAGTTTAATCCCTAGTGCCCAAAAACTAAAATAAAATTATAATTGTTTCAAAAGTAAAAACTACTCTGACAGCCAAGTATAAAATAATTTTTTTAAAGAGAGAGTAGAGAAAGAGAGTGAGAGAGAGAATTTTTTAATATTGATTATTTTTTAGTTCTCGGCGGACACAACATCTTTGTTGGTATGTGGTGCTGAGGATCGAACCCGGGCCGCACGCATGCCAGGTGAGCGCGCTACCGCTTGAGCCACATCCCCAGCCCTAAAATATTTTTAAAAAGAAAGAAAAAGAAAAAGAAGACAATCTCTCTCTCTCCACCAGTTCTACTTCCTAGAAGAGCTGTTTCCTATACCCACAAGACACTACCAAAGCATATATTATAAGCACATTTAACAGTGCAGGGAAAGACTTCTTTTCCTACTCTGAAAAGCTTTTGTGGCAAAAAAAAAAAAAAAAAAAACTTAAAAAACACAGAAAGAGTAGAAAAGAGTAGATACTCCAAAGGTTTGGATTCCAACAGTGGAGCGGGAAAACCCCCATCCCAGGTTGTAAGACTGTTTTCCATACAGAAAATCCCTGGAAGACTGGGGTCCACCTTCTATAGCATTTCCCAATGGGGTTCCCTAATAAACACCATTCAAGAAAAGGTTCTGAGGTCAAATGAGTTTGGGAAACATTGAATTTAATGGTTCCTTTTCTGCAGACTTCTTGCAGATTTTAGTGTGTAAGGGGCACTATAAATCTCAGGGTGTGGGGACCAGAGCTGCTGCACCCAAACTTACTTGACATCACTTTTCTGAAGAGCAGCTTGTAGAACAAGTGTTGTACATAACAGAATGGGCAAGGCTGACTAAGTGGTTATCAGGGAATCACGGCCTCCCAACCAGTGGTCTGAGCCCTAGTTCAGTCAGCCATCTGGCACCCAACCTCCCCCAACAGGCTTTACACCATCAGATATGGCCCAGAACCAACTGACCTTCTGAGACCACTCAAAATTGTTGACTCCACCTGAGATGTAATCTAAGTTAACGTGGAGTAGGCCCCCTCCCTACCCCCACTAAACTTCATCCATTCCCAAAGTCACTAAGAAGAGTCAGATGTATGGGGAGTGGAAACACAGAACCCCCAAAGACAAAAGAATTATGGTTGGGATCCCGAAGACCCTAATCTTTAATATTTTTTAAATCTCTGTCTCTATTGCAGTATTTCCTAACATTTTTCACATTATGACACAAATAGAGAATTATAATATTTCTGTGGCACACGGAGTAAAAGAATAAGGTGACATTATCATGATCAAAGATAGGCAGCCCAGGGTTCTAGATGCCAGGTTTACCCCAAGAATTGAGGTTTTTACAATCTTCATATACTTAAAACCCATTCATGACCCAGAGAAGTTACATTTGGTACTGGGATGCTTTGTGTATGTATCATACCATATATCCTAATATTTTAGTTTTTTAAAAAAAGTGGGGTATTATAGAAAAAGAAGGAGAAGGAGGAGGAAGATAAGAAGGAGAAAGAGAAGGAAAAAAGTAGAGTACCAACATTAAGAACAGATTTTACATATGTGATTTCATTTGATCTACATATTAGCCTATGGGGTATAATCTCATTTTACAGATTAAATAAATAAATAAAATAACTTGGGGGGGAGTTATTGGCCCGAGGTGACTAAATGGGAGTCACAGATAGGACTCAAATCAGGCTTGTTCATTTCTGAAACTTTATGGCCTCTGAGATCAAAGAGGGAAAGTAGAATTGGGTAGAACTTGCCTGCTCCTTCACACGGCCCTGACACACACACACACACACACACACACACACACACACACACAACACACAGGAAAGCAAAGGCAGGGTTTTCATTTGGGATAGGGGGGAAGACTCACTCATATCTCCAGGGGGAGATGGCCCTGCTATTGAGGGGTCCGTCGTCACTGGCCCTGCAGGATTCTGGGTGCTGGGCAAGGCTTTCAGGCTCCGGGGGAGACATGAACACAGTTGGCCCCTGCAACAAGTCCTCGGAGAGATCCTGCCCTTTACTGGGACCACAGCTGGGCCAGTGGCTGCAGTCCTTCCGGAGTCGAAAACTAAGGGTGTGGGTTCCCAGCATCATAGCCAAGAATGCGACCACCTGGAGAAAAAGGCCAGTGTGAGAACTGCTCCCGCCTAATCCAGTCGCTTACCATCCAAACGTCTCCCCCAAACCTGGGAGCCTGGCCTCCCTCAACCCTCAGCAACACTCTGCTCAGTTTCCTCTCAGCAACCCCTCTGGCAGCATGTGCACTCACCTGGTACATGCTGGATGCTGCTCACTCAGCCACTGGTGGTGGTGCCCTGACTGACAGGCCTTCTGGAAGCAGGCTGACCTGGAGTGGTTTGGGAGTCCTGGTTTTATTTTCAGCAAACCTGTTTTGTTTATTCAAATTTATTTCCACTATCGTTTGGAGGGAGTGGCTTGAGATTAAAAAACAAAACAAAACTGAAAAAACCTGAAAGCATTTCCAAAAGCTGTTTAGAATGCTACCTTCATGGAAGTTGTGGTGACATCATTATCTGTCTGGTAGCTGATTGGGTAAGCTTTGCTCGTTGCGCTTTTCCGGGTGTGGGGTCAAAGCAATAACGTTCTGCTATTATGTATCTTTGTAACTGTCATTATGGGAATTTTCCGGGTTGGTTTGCCACCCTAAATTATGGAATATCATTGGCCTTTCCTTCAAAGGCCTTATTTCCGTGGTCTCTGCTACTCCCACCAAGCATCTGATCTGCACTCTTCCCCTTCTTCAGATGGCCCTGACCACCCATGATAGTAACTATTTCCCTTTCTCTCCATCTCCTTTGACCCCCTCATCCCCTGGTTCTCTGACCTCTTTCCATCTTTGATGACCGCAATTCCTATGACCCCCATCATCTATGGCTTCTCCCCCATTGTTCAGACTTCTTCCCCAAAGTTCAGTAGCTGCCCCCTGACTTCCCCTCACCCTCTCTAGTTGCTGCCCCACCCCCACATTTTCCCTGGCGTCTTCCTTAGAATAAGGACACAGGCCTCACCTCACAGGACTGCCAGGAAGACCCTGATCCTGACCCCTGACCCCATAAGTTTGTTAGCTAGACGGGCAGGGCCTGATGGAAGAAGGTGTGGGTGAGTGTTCCCATTGCACAAATGAGAAGGTGGAGCAAGGAAGAGGAGGAGCATGGTAACAACCTTACCTAAGTCGTGAGAGGAAGTCACCTTCACTCACAAGGCCTTGAGGACAAGGCTCATGGCAGGAATAGCTGCCACTCTCAGGCCATGGGGGGACCCCCCTCAGTCTCACTCCAGTATCATGATGCACCATCCACCAGAGGGGATATACATGCTTCAGAAAGGATGACCCCAAAGACACGGGCCAGTGGGGGTCCAGCATGCTGAGGAAGACTGCAGAAAACAGACCAGAGTTCACTTCCTGCCCATTGACCACCCCACCCCAACACACTCATACACAGACATTGTCTCTAGAATAATGCTTCCTGATTTGCATGTGCTTTCCCTCAGAAAATACTCCTCTAGTAACCAAGGACTCGGGAAATAAACAGAAGGAACCAGGAATAACTTTCTGTAGAGGGGGATTCCTCCAAAAGCAGCCCTAAAGGAGAGTCAAAATGTCAGAGGGCATTCTGGAGAATTGGGATAAGCTGTTCTGGTGAGTCTTGGTGGGGTCTGGAACAGTAGAGAAAGGCCACTTTGGGGAAAAATTGTGGTGGCTGGGAGAACAGGAGCACTTGGGAAGAACAACAAGGTCAGGAATATCATCACCTCACTCCTACTACCCACCCTCAACCCCTGTGCTCCCAGACACCCTCTCCCTTTTATCCACTGTTGGCCGGGCTCCTGTGCACTTACACATTGCCAAGGAGGATGATAAGCCCTGGATATGCATCATCTTACTTTATCCTGACAATAAAACCAGGACATGGAAACTATTATCTCCATATTACAGGTGAAGAAACAGACCCAACGAAATCTAGTCATTTACCCAAGGCCACATAGTTAGAAAGAGGCCAAGCTGGTTTTCCATTCTAGGCCTGATGAACTCCAAATCTGAGTCCCTGACATATAAGCTAGGCCAACCCTCAGGTGACTGCAAATGGAAGGGGAATCACTACAGTGAATACTTCAATTTGAAACAGACTAAATTTGGGGGTCACCTCTCTGAATTAAGATCAAACTTCCTCTTGTTGAGAGAAGGAAGCTTGCCATCCCCAACCCTGCAGACCCCAAAGTGGGAGAGCAGAGGGAGAACCGAGATCTACCCCTTGCTCCCATCCTAACACAAGATGACTAATTCTATAAATGTATGTCACCTGGCTTTTGTTTCTTTAAATTGTAACTGCTTCTGTGGGGCCTGTGGAGAAAAGCAATTTAGTTGCTTTTCCTTAGTTCTATCAAAGTATATAAAGCCCAAATCCAGACAGTCAGGATCCAGGAATAAAGGTCCCTGGGCTAGACTGCCAGGAACATACGCACCTAGGCTTGGGTTGCACAGGTCTCACCTGTACCTGCCCAATGCCACGGGGCATTCAGCCCTGCTGGAGGGGATCCTGTGCTCCAGATTCCTGTTGTCCAGCCTTTGTCTGACACATGATCTCAGGGTGGCTTCTGGTGTTCCTGGACAATCCCCAAACCTAGAATGGGTCCCCAGGTATAGTGCTATTTTAGAAGAACAGTTTTCCTATGGGTCTCCTCTAAAGGATCAGAACCCCAGGGCAGAGGGAGAAGAACAGGAGTCTGATCTTGGCTCAAGTCTCTTGATTCTGCAGAAAGGGGTGCTCAAAGGAGCTGGAAGTGATCACAGCTGCTTGCTTCATTTGCTGACACTGCAGAAAGGACTCAGCCTGGGTTACTGGGGACACTGCCCTTCAGGAGAAGCCTTTGGGGAATCTCCCTGCCTCTGAACCTCAGAGCAGAGGAAACCCCTAGAAGGTAAAGGGAGGGCCCCTTCCAAAACAGAGTTTCCCCCAGGCTTGGCTTTTTCCATACTATGAAGACTGGGCCTGACCCAAGAACCTGTTCTCTGAGCCACATGTGCCCACCCCACCCCATTTGCTCAGAGCCTCTATCCTTATCTCGGTAGCAGCTTTGTGGAACTCTTTAGGGTGACTCCCTGCCATGAGAAACATTTTCCAGAGGGTTTCCTCCTGGGGTGACTAGTTTTGGAATCCCTGAGTCACTTCAGCTTCCAGGGAATCCCTGGGGGAGGTGTGGGGATGTGGAGGTGGCAATAAGGACAATGTTGGAGGCAGAAGCAAAGGAAAATTTGCCCGGCACCTGACATCAAGAGTAACCTCCCAACACGTCCCCACTTGCCTGGGCCCTGACCTCACAGCCAAAGAGGGCTTTCTGGGATTCCTACCTCTGTGTCCCTGGAAAAAGTGGTCAGTACCTATCAGGAAAGGGCAGGGAAGGTGTGATGGAATTTACCTTCCACCCTTAGTTTGAGAAGGTTCTTGGGGCTCATAGGGAGTTAGAATATAGCAGTCCTGCCCCTTCTCAGAAAGATTTTCAATTTTTTACCTGCTTCTTAAGAAGGTAAAGTCTCAGGCCAGCTCCTCAAAGTCTCAGGCCAGCTCCTATCCTCTCTGGACTTTACGTTCTCTCTCTGACGTTTCCTCCACATTTGCAGAAGTGCGCGTATTGAGTGCGCTGGTGCCGGGGGATTGCCCTGGATGGCCAGAAAAACGCTAACCAGTCTAGCAGCTCTGCACCTCAGTTCCTGAAATAGTGTTGAATCCAGGGACTCAGCAGTGTCCACTGATGTTCATCAGCACTTAGTTTTTTTGAGGCTGGAACATTGGTTTTATTAAAATGTTAAAATATACCAGATATGGTGGTGCCTGCCTATAATCCCAGTTAGTCAAGAGACTGAGGGAGGAGGATTGTGATTTCAAGGCCAGTCTGGGTAACACAGCAAGATGTCATCTCAAAATACAAATAAACAAAATAAATAATGTTGAGATACTTCTTCACCTGCTAGTAAGTATCTGCTGCCCTCAGACTTGGAAACCCCCCATACCAACACACCTCCTGATCTAGCCACTGAAGTGTAAATACCTGGCATGGATGGAGGCCTCCAGAATATTGTTTCTCTGTTCTGACTAGTAGGTGATAATGATCCCAGTTGCTAATTTGTTTGTTTATTTATTTTTGGCACTGGAGATTGAAGCCAGGGGTGCTTTATCACTGAGTTACATCCCCAGCCCTTTTTTTATTTTTTTTTTATTTTGAGACAATGTCTCACTAAGTTACTGAGGGTCTTGATAAATTGAGGCTGGCCTTAAACTTGCAATCCCCCTGCCTCGGCCTCAGAGTCATTGAGTGCCTCAGAGTCACTGAGATTAGAGGCATGCACCACTACCAGGTGCTAATTATTCTTAAGATATCACTTTTTTGGGCTGGGGATTTGGCTCAAGCGGTAGCGCACTTGCCTGGCATGCGTGCGGCCCGGGTTCGATCCTCAGCATCACATACCAACAAAGATGTTGTGTCCGCCGAGAACTAAAAAATAAATATTAAAAATTCTCTCTCTCTCTCCTCTCTCACTCTCTCTTTAAAAAAAAAAAAGATATCACTTTTTTAATTTTAATTTTTTAAATTTACATATGACAGCAGAATGCATTACAATTCTTCTTACATATATAGAGCACAATTTTTCATATCTCTGGTTGTATACATAGTATATTCATACCAATTTGTGTCTTCATAGATATACTTTGGATAGAATGATCATTCCATTCCACCATCATTAATTATCCCATGCCCCCTCCCTTCCCCTCTAAACCTCTCTGCCATATCTAGAGTTTGTCTATCCCTCCCATGCTCCCTATCTCACTATGAATCAGCCTCCTTATATCAAAGAAAACATTCAGCATTTGATTATTTTGGATTGGCTAACTTCACTTAGAATTATCTTCTCTAACTCCATCCATTTACCTGCAAATGCGATGATTTTATTCTCTTTTATTGCTGAGTAATATTCCATTGTGTGTATATCAATGTTTATAGCAGCACAATTCACAACAGCACAATTCACAATTCACAACAGCTATACTGTGGAATCAACCTAGATGCCTTTCAATAGAGGAATGAATAAAAAAAAATGTGGCATATATACACAATGGAAGATATTTAACTACAAAAATGCTTTAGCTCAGGAGCCTGCCTTCAAGAAGAACTCAGGGAGTCATATGGAGAATCAGAATTAAGAGGACAAAGATTCCAACAACTCAATACTCCAGCACATGGATGGTGCCTCCCCAAGGAGGACCAATATGGTTCAGGTTTGGAATATCTGCCAAAGGCTCATGTTGGAGGCTTTGTCCCAGTGTAACAATGTTCAGAGGTGGGACTTTTGGGAAGTGATTGGATCATAAGGGCTGTAACACCATCAGTGGATTAATCCACTGATAATTCATAATTTGATGGCATTATTGAGAGGTAGTGGAAACTGTAGGAGGTGAGTCCTGGTTGAATAAAGTGGGTCACTGGGGGCGTGTTCTGGAAGATTTATCTTGTTTCTTCTTTGCTTTCTACTTCTTGGCTGCCATGAGGTTAGAGTTTGTTCTGCTATGCCCTTCCACCATGATGTTCTGTGCCACCAGAGGCCCAAAGCAATGGAGCCAGCCAATCTTAGACTGAAACCTCTGAAACCACAAACCAAAATTAATCTTTCCTCCTTTAAGTTGTTTTTCTCAGATATTTTTGTCATAGTAACAAAAATCTGACTAACACAAAGACCTTCAGCTTACTTAGCTGTGTCCTATAGCCATGGATGTCTGAGTGCATTTATCAATTCATCAAATATTTATTAAGCACCATATACACCAAGCACTACTACTCTAAATGCTAAGAATGCATAAGAAGATAAGACAAACAACTTTTTTAGGAAGAGATGGATAGTAAACAATGAATCAAGATAATTTCTGATAATAATAAGTGTGATGAGGAAAATGAAACAGTGTTATGAGATAAGGTTACAGGGGGATGGGGAGGGGAGAGGGAGGGCAACTGTAACTCAGAAAGTCAGGGGTTGTGGTATTTAATGTGATGATGGAAAGGATCTGGGAGAAGGAAGAGGGAGCAAGTCGTGCAGTGTCCTAGAGATAGGAAAGGGCTTGGCATATTTAAGAAACAGAAAGGACAGTGTGGGTGAAAAAAACAAAAGGTGAAAGTGAAGAGAAGAGGATGTGGAAGAGGAGGTAGGAATCCATCACTTAGAGTCTTAACAGGGCATGGTGGAGCATTTGAATTTTATTCTAAGGTCAGTGGGGAGGTATTGACCGGATTCAACCCTATCTATGAGTTTCTTGAGGGCAGACATCATGTCCTCCTTATCCTGGTGGCCCCTCAGGGTACCACCAAATAACAATAATAATAGTTGCCTTTGCCAACATTTATATATCATGGGTCAGGTGCTGTTCTCAGGATTTTCTTAATGCTCACAACAAGCTGGTATTCTAGGTTCCATCATTATGCCCATGATTACTGTCCTTTGTGAACAAGAAACCAGAGGCTGCAACAGGTCACAGAGCCATCATGGTCATTAGCTAGTGTTGGAACCAGGATTAGAACCAAGACAGTAGGGGTGCTGTGGGTCCAAAGAGATGAGGGTTAGAAGAATTAGCAAGTACCTGAGAAGTTTTGAATAATAAGAGGGATCAAAGAGACCCAGGAAGTCCCAAGGTGAGGTGAGGAAGAAACCAGCTGGTTGGACCCTCCTAGGAAGAGGAAAGATGGGGAGAAGATTGGAGCCCTAGAAGCCAGATGGAGGGTTCCTGCCTTTCTATTCCCTGACATGTCTAGGACAAATCTTTGGAGCCCAACTTATTGAGGCTTCTACCCACCCAAGGCCTCCACGACCTCCCAAGCCTGGACCCTAGAGCTCCTCCTAACAAAATTCAAATCACATTAAACTTTTGCTTGCAAAGAAGAGGGTAAAAGGGTATAGAACATGAGAAAGGTTCCTCCTGCCCTCATTCAAGACACCTTTTCAGCTTTCACACCATGGGGAGCTAAATGTAAAGAAGAAAGTATGAAAGAAGAATAGTGTGTCAGGCTCTTTCCATGTATTTACTTCCTGCCAAAATTATTGTTAAAGATGAGAAACTAAAGTTGGGCACAGTGGTGCACGCCTGTAATCCCAGCAGCTCGGGAGGCTGAAGTAGGAGGATCTTGAGTTCAAAGTCAGTCTCAGCAAAAGTGAGGCACTAATTCAGTGAGACCCTGTCTCTAAATAAAATACAAAATAGGGCTGGGGATGTGGCTCAGTGGTAAAGTACATCGGGTTAAATCCCCAGTACAAAAAAAAAAAAAAAATGATGAGGAATTGAGATTCCAAGATGGTCTATAACCTGACCAAGGTCACACAGCTAATAAACCAGTACTCACTTCCAAGACTGATTGGCACCATTCCATGCCTGGGCATTCCAGAAGCACAGTCTTCTCATGCTGATGTGCATTCTATTGTCCATCACTACACTGCCCAGGCACTGAGTTCCACTGCCCTGCTCCCAAGCCACTACCTTGCCTGGTCCTAGCAGCTTCGTCTCCTCTTGGCCTCCATCTACTTTCCTGTGCCAGGTAAAGCACTTGTCTTTGTGGACAGAGTATCCTACCCACCTCCCCTTGACTCCAAATTTGCCTTGGCAGACCCTGAGCAAAGATCATACCCAATCTCTCTTTAGCAGCAGCATGTCTGTGTACCTAACAACCAGGTCCACCAGAACTGGTGTCTGGAGGAGGATGAACGTCTTCTCTAGTGACTACCTCTAACCAGACTGAAGCTGGAATGGGGTAGCTCTCCTTTCAGATGTATCTGGAAATTTAAAAGTTCCTTTATGTCCTAATGGAGTTTCAGTCTGTTCCAAGTTCCTAGGCCCATGCCCTAACCAGGTTTGAAATCCATCACTGACAACCAGGCTCAGGGCCAATAGTGTTTGACCCCATGTTGACACAAGAATCTCTCACTAACTCACCCCACAGATTCCACCTCTTCCTTCTGCAGGGGGTCCTTCATAGGTGCCCAAATAATAGGGTGAGGAAGGGGCTGGGGCAGGGAACCTCCCCACACTGAGAAACACGGGCAAGTGTGAGCCTCCAAAATGTGAGGATGGAGGGCCTTAAATTATACTTCTGATATTATCTCCAAATGAAGTTATGCATACGTCCTTGTCTATTTTATGTTTGAAGTGCTTGTTAAACATAAATAGTGAAAATACACTACAGCTTTTCACTCTGATAGCATCTTGCTTTTTAAATACCAGGGACTTTAAAAGTGGAAAATGGGCTTCCCCCAAGCCTCAGGAGGCTCTGTTGTGTGCTCTAAAATAAAGATCCAAGAAGCAGGGCAGTGGGAAGGCAAATGGGAGAGATGTAGGAGGCTAATAGCCCTGCCCTCGGCTGAAACTCCTGGGAGCTAGATCCGCAGACCCTCTAAAAGACTTCTTTCTGCCCTTTTGTACCTGTAGTCCTCAATCCTGCTTCTAGAAGCAGCAAGAGCCAGGCAGGCTGAGGAAGGGCGACAGGCCCAGACTAGCAGAGGAGGCTAGGAGGCCGCCCAACCGGCCCGCCTTGCAGATCTGGGGCCAGACGTTAAGGCTTCGTGTTTTCTCACCAGGGCCAGAAACAATGTCCAGCGCCAGACTCCTGGCCCGTGCCCCACAAGATCGGCCGAGCTAAACCGGCCACCCCTGCAGAGGCAGCACTAAGGAGCTGAGAGGCTAGGCTAAGGACCCCAGCAAGGCGGAAGGAGCGCGCTCCCTCCCCACGAGAAAGACAGATGTGGGGCTAATGAAAGGGAGACTGAGAGGCGCGGGGCTGACGGGGGAGTGTGGGGGCGTGGCAGGGAGAGCGAAGCTCCCAGGAAGGAGAGGACCAGACCACCCGGAGGTCTGCGGAGAGGTCCAGAGGAAGAAAGCGCCGGAGAGAGGGGCTGGACAGGGACCGGCAGTTTGGCCCCAAGGTCCTAACTGAAACTCAACACCACCCGCCTTTGGAAGGATCGTCCCCTTTTCTCCTCCGCCCCTTCCCTTTCCCTCCCTTTCCCCCTCCCTCCTTTCTCTTAATCCCCAGGACTGAGCCCCGCGCTGGAGAGGAGAGGGCCCGAGGGGAGGAGGAAGAACTGCATTGAAAGGGAGCCGGGAGCCGGGGAAGGGGAGGGAAGGGAGCCGCGAGCGAGGGGTGAGCGGGGGAGCCACGCGCGGCCCCCCTGAAGCCTACCCAGCCCTCTTGGTGTCCCCACCTCGACCCTAACCCCAGTCGAGCCCACAGGACCCTAGCCCCTGCCTCTCCTTCGCCTTCTCTTTACTCCTTTGGTTGCTTCTTGGTCTTTCTCTTCTTTCCCAAAGACACTTGGGAGCTGCCTCAACCCCTGGGGTGCGCCGAGGGGCCCTGCCAAGGGGGCGTGCGGTGGGGGCCGGCTCCGGGTGTCAGGGGCCGAGGGTGGGGGTGGGAGCTCCCGGCCTGGCACCCCCGACCGAAGGTGGAAGGGGGCTGGGCCCCTCTGCTCCCTGGGCGCAGGAAGGCAGTCCCGCCTCTTCGAGTTGTACCTGCGTGCTGCTTGCTGTGACCCGGGCGCCTGGCGTCCCCGGACCCCTGGGTGCGCTGAGAGCTAGTGTAGAGAGTGAGAACTCGCCTCATCGCCGCGGGCGCGAGGTTCTGGGCAGAAAACAGCCACTCCGGCAACCCAGTCCAGCGGCCACGCTGTTGGAGGACTTGGGCGCCAGTCTGGCTTCCTTTCGCCAATTTGGGCGAGTTTGAAGAGGGACAAAAGGCTCGGTCCTCGCTGGTCTTTCCTCCCAGTGGGGTCCTGTCACAGTGCCCTGGGCCTCCACTACCACAGTCCTGGGATTCCTGGTCCCCGGCGGGGCCAGCGGTTGGGAAGGGTTGGCCCCTAAACTTGCTCATCCAGCCCAACCGTCCCGGCGGCTTCTCCCAGCCCTTGGGGCTGTCCTGAACCTCCTGGACTAGCGTCGAGCAGCCCCAGATCCCGCCTCCTCGCCAGCCCAGCCCTGGAACGAAGATTTCGGCCCATGCGGGCCAGGGAGGCCTCTGCGGCCTAGGGCAGGCAGCTCCGGGGGGCCTGGCCAACCCAGCGGCCCCTGGGAGGCCGTGGGGACAGTTCAGAGCGCGCCCCTTGGATGAGGTCCCGCAGCGACGCCCCGGCCCGCCCCTCTCCTCCTCCTGCCTGGCCAAACTGCCTCCCATTTGGGAAGTTTTGTGGGTTTTCTTTCTCCTCCAACCTTGGCGGAGGCCACTGCTCAAGCGCCACAGCCGGGGGTAGCCTCCTTGCTTGGAGGCCGCGAAGCATGGTGCGGAGCAGCCACAGCTGAAGTCAGCGAAATCGAGCCTGGCCTGAAGCAGGCGGCGCTGGAGGCCAAGGCCATGGCCATTGCCACGTCGGTGAGTCCACCAGGGAGAGGAGCAGAAACCTGCGGGGCAGAAACCTGACCAGCCTGCCTTGACTCCTGTAGCATTTATTTCTGCCCTCTCTTTGTCTCTCTCCTTGATCGATCCCTTTCTCCTCCAGGAGGCTGTGTCCTATCACTTTTGTTTCCTTTCCCCCTCTCACTCATCCCCTGCTCCTTAGGCTCCTGGGTTCGCCCCTCCTCTTCTCCCCCTCCCCAAGCTCTTTCTTTCTAGAGGTTGCTGCTGGATAGAGGGGAGGGGGCAAGGGTAGTCCCAGTCCTATCTGCTCCTTTCTGGGCGGGAACAGATGGCCACTGGTGGTTGGCAGGGATTTGTGATTGGGAAGCAAAGTAAACGGGATTGAAAGGACAAGCTGCTCAAGGAAAATGGGAGGCCAAAGGACCAGGAAGACCTATCTCTGGAGGAGGGATGGAGGAAAGGAGGCAAATAGAGGAAAGGGGGGTGATCTGGCAGGGAGAGAGAATATAGAGGGAGGAGGGGAGGTGATGTCAGCCTGCCTCAGGCCACTTTCCGGGGACTAAGGACAAAGGGAGGAGACAGCTGGCATGATGGGACAGTGGGAGGTGGCCTCCCAGAAAGCTGCAGTGGTCCCCAGCCACCTCCATTTAGCCAGCCATTCCCTAGCAAGTCAGCTGGGCCGCTAGGCGGGAATAGAACAGGGGCCACACCCATCAGCACTCATTCCATCAGCAGCTCTGTCCTGGGTTTCTACAACTGCAAGGCCCAGAGGTTTGGCTCCATTGGACAGAATTCAAACCTAACACAGGGAGGAGCTCTCCACTGACCCACCCCTCTGCTTTCTGTCCAGCACTCTGAGTAGTCTGAATCCAGGCAACTTCGCCTTTCTGCCCTTCCCTGGCCTCTGGCTTGAATTTCCAGGAAAAGCAAGGGTAACACCTGCTTTCTGATCCCCTCTGAAGGGGGACTCTGGGAGTATTTTGAGAGTGGAAAGAAAAGCAGAGAGCCACCCACACCCTCCCATTCCTCTTAAGGACCAGTTGGATTTGGGCTCCTTCCCAGATCAAACTCCTGTTAGTTCCTCAATCATGATGACTTGAAGACACTAGCCCAGTGCTGGGAGAGGGGAGAGCCTCTGGGAGTACTTGGGCACAAGGTGATGATTGTGTAACTTTGCAGTCCCAGGAGGTAGAATTTTTTTGATGGGGTGGAGGCATATTTATGCTGAGTAAGCTCAAGGATCCTTAATAATGCTAGTATTTATTAAGTACTTGCTACACCTGACCTTATGCTAAAGTTTTTCACATTTTGTTTTTTGAGATGAGGTTGATGTTGCCTAGGCTGGTCTCAAGCTCCCAGAATCAAGGGATCCTCCTGCCTCAGCCTCTCAAGTAGCTAGGACTATAGGCTCATGCCTAGCTATGTTGTGGGGTTTTTTTAAGGAGTTATCTCATGCAGCCCTCAGAACAGCCTTGTGAGGATACTACTGTCCTTATACAAAAACTGATATTTGGAAAAAAAAGATGGAATTCTACAAAGGAGGAAATTAAGGCTCACAAAGGTCAAACAACCTGACCAAAGTTACCCCATGAGAAAGGGACAGAGCCAGGACTCAACCCCAGGTCCATCTGCCTCTTGAACTTTACTTTTAATCCCCTGACTATATGCAAAACACTGATTTATAATTTACAGTTAGAAAGAAAAGTGTGGAGCCAACCAGGAATTTGTGTTATCTGATTAGCATTCCCTTACCCCACCTGCCATGGGACAATATTCTTCAGGAGCTACAATACAATTAGAAAATAGTTGGATGCATTTGGAATCAAGCAAGAGGAAGAGTCCATTTGTTAAAACCACTTAGCCATGAAGGGTTGGACAGCTATTGTCCACCAGCAGAAAACACCAGCCAAGAGGAACATGCACTGGTGTTGACTGAGCAGGGATTCCTTCTCCTCACAGTCTGGTGGCAGTCCGCCTGAGGTCTTTAGCTTGAAGGTGTTTGCTGAATTAGTGAGTTCACATTGTTACCTGGCTAGGAGCTGTTCTTCAACACTACTGTATATGCCACCACTGCCCATGATCATTCCAGCAGGTATGGTCCTTTAATAATATATTTTGACATTTTGAATGGTTTAATTTTGATTCTACCAAAGGATTCTTGGGACAAGAGCATCATGAAGGGTTACAGAAAAGGGAAATTGAGTATAAGGAAGACTTGATATGTACTTGACTCACCTTTGAGTCATGGACCCTTTTGACTCCACCACTGGTACCATTGAAACAAACAAAACAAAAATAAGCAAATAACTGCCATTGTGGAAAGGTAATGGAATAAAGTGACTGAGGGTGCAGGCTCTGAAATCAAACAGCCTGAGCTTCAAATCATGCTCCACTACTGTACCAGCCATGTGTCATTGAGCAAAGCACTAACCTCTCTTCCCAGTTTCCTTTCCAAAATGCAGATAATGGTTTCTCCCCAATAAGGTTGTTGTGAGAATTAAATGTTATGATGAATGCAAAGACTTGCACAGTGGAAAGAAATATCATCTGCACTTAGCTTCTTCGTCTGTGGCTCCAATGTAAAAAGCTCACATGCCCCCTCCAGACAGGACTGGAAATGAGATTGATGCTTATTCCTGATTGGCCTGCCAGCTCCCTTCCTTGTGCACACACTAGAGCATATACACTTTTCTCCATGGTAACCTCAGCCTCTTCTGGTAGAACCTTATTTGCTCAGACTGAGAACAAAACAATTGCTTTGGTTTCTGTTTTCTTTCATATCATGCCTAGGCACTGTCTGAACAGGGCTTTTCCCAGTTTCCCTCAGAATAGGGGTCTTTGCAGCTGCTTAATCTAAGCTTTTGCATGTGAGGGGCAGCCACTAGGGAAAAGAAAGAAAGTGAAGGAGATTCCATGAGAAACCTTAGCAAGACCTCTTCATGTGCTTTGGGAAAAATTAATTCAACAAATGTGTACTGAGGACCAGTTCCAGGTGAGTCCCTATTACAGGGACTAGGAAGAAGTAAGGGCTTACAGTGTAAGGAGAGAAATTGCTAATAATAATAAAAGAAATGACTAAAAAGACAAATAACTTTGGGTATTATGAAGGAAACAGTGGTAGAGATGATGCAGAGAATGGGACCGGGCAAACAGTGATTAAGGAGGAGGAGACATTTAAGCTAAACTAAAGGATGAAAAAGGGCCAGTCAGATGAAATCAGGGGAAGAGCATTCTGAGGAGGGAAAATAGTAAGTCCAAAGGTCTTGAGGTCAGAACGTTATGGAAGAGAAGGACAGAGGTGATAAAGCTGGAGGCAAGACGGGACTCGTCAGTGCTGAGTCAGGAGTCAAATTGTTAAAGGGAATGGGAAGCTCTAAAGAGGCTTCCCATGACCAGATAGGTGTGTACAGACCCTCTCCTTATACTCTCCTCACCCACCAGGCCCAGCTGGCCCGGGCACTGTACGACAACACTGCTGAGTCTCCCCAGGAGCTGTCCTTCCGCAGAGGGGACGTTCTACGGGTACTGCAGAGGGAGGGTGCTGGCGGACTGGATGGCTGGTGCCTCTGCTCCCTGCATGGCCAGCAGGGCATTGTGCCTGCCAACAGAGTGAAGCTTCTTCCTGCTGGCCCAGCGCCCAAGCCCAGCCTCTCCCTGGCACCCTCCGCCCAGCCTGGCTCACCACACCCAACCCTAGAGCACAGCAATGAGGAACAGGAGGTGAGACTTGAAGTCCCCCAAGCCCCAAACCTGGAGACCCCTTGTCCTCCCCTGGGGCTTGCAGGCAGGCAGGCAGACCCCCCAGGTCACTGCTCTCCTCCCACTGTGCTCTCTGAAGTCTGTGCCACCCCTTAGCTCTGTGTCTCTGTTGGTAGCACAGCAGGGCAGGTTTCTAAGCTCCTCCAAGTCTAACATGGTTCACCAGCCCCCTCCTTCAGACCCACCCACCTGTCTTGATCTCCCAGGTGTATGTGGTACCACCCCCAGCTCGCCCCTGTCCTGCCTCAGGACCTCTGGCTGGACCCTGCCCACCCTCCCCTGACTCCATCTACAAGGTCCCCAGAGGCAATGGGACCCAACTGTCCACTCCCAGAGATGCCTTGGAGGTGAGGGTTAAAGGTCTGTGTATTTGGGGTAAGGGACAAACAACCTCAGGGCTGGTCCATTGCTGAGCTGAAGGGTGACTCACTGTTCCCTCTCTCCAGGTCTATGATGTGCCCCCCACTGCCTTCCGAGCTCAATCCAGTGACCCCTATGACTCCCCAGCTTCCTTTTCTCATCCACTGGCCCGGGTTGCCCAGCAGCACCCTGGGGAAGATGAAGCTCCCTATGATGTACCTCTAGCCCCAAAGCCATCCACAGAGCTGGAGCCAGATCTGGAGTGGGAAGGGGGCCGGGAACCAGGGCCCCCACTCTACGCTGCCCCCTCCAACCTGAAACGGGCATCAGCCCTCCTCAACCTGTATGAAGCACCCGAAGAACTGCTGGCCAACGGGGAAAGTGGGGACACTGATGAGGGCATCTATGATGTGCCCCTGCTGGGTCCCGAGGCACCCCCTTCTCCAGAGCCCCCAGGAAACTCGGCCTCCAACGAGCTGGACACCCTGGCCCAGCTCCTGGCCAGAAGCCCTCCACCACCACACAGGCCTCGGCTGCCCTCTGCTGAGAGTCTGTCCCGGCGCCCTCTGCCTGCCCTGCCTGTCCCTGAGGCTCCCAGCCCTTCTCCAGCTCCCTCTCCTGCTCCAGGCCGCAAAGGCAGTATCCAGGATCGGCCTCTGCCTCCACCCCCACCCCGCCTGCCTGGCTTTGGGGGTCCCAAGATCGAGGGGAATCCAGAGGACAGGGAAGTGGAGGATGATCCAGCAGGACCCCACAATGAGTATGAAGGCATCCCAATGGCTGAAGAGTACGACTATGTTCACTTGAAGGTGCGTTCCTCCTGGGGCACTCCCAGAAATGCCTCAAGAGGAGGAGGAGTGTAGAGGCTTGGGGCAGAACTTCCCTGCCTCCCTTCTTCCTCTCTCCCCTGCCCCTTCATCCTGTGGCCAGGGACCCTACCACATGTTCTTGGCCTTACCACATGTACTAGTGCCACACTCCCCCCTTAATCCCAGCCTGGGACCACCAGAGCTCCCTCCTGAGTCAAGGGACTGGAAGGGAGACTGGGGAAGCCACCACTCCTGCACTGAGACTTGATCCCCTTTGCAGGGCATGGATAAAGCTCAGGGATCTAGGCCCCTGGATAAAGCCTTTCCAGAGGATCCTGAACTACAGGAGAAGGGACTGCCTGAGCAGCAGGTAACCCCCTGTTGGAGGTGTGCTAGAGAAGGGGGCTGGTGAAGGAGGGCTGAAGACTTGGGGGAAGGGTTATTCTTAACCAAACTATAGAGGGAAATAGATTAGGATGAGATTAGAGTTCACATGAAGCAGGGACAGAGTAGACAGGAGTTAGAATTCAACTGGAAGGTGCTGGAACTTGGAAGAGGATATTAGAAATTCAGAAAGAGGGGAAAGAATGTGTTGGAGAGGAGTCAGAAAGCCGGGCAGCCAAGGGAGCAGAAAGAGTTTCTGGGCTGTGGCTCCTTCTAAGGCTCCTTCCAACTGTGAATTCCTGGGCTCCTAAGAGACCTGGCTCCTAATCCCAGCTCCACCACTAAGAAGGGGGGGGGGGGGGCACAAAGCGATCACTTAAGTCTTTCTGGACCTCAGGAAAGTGAGATAGTTTCCTTGACTCAGTCTAGAATGGACATAACACAATAGCAACCATTTATCGGGTATTTACCAAGTGCCAGACCCTGTGCTAGGCACACATGCTTCAACATCAATCACAGTCATAGTCGATGCTCATAACAGCTTAGGGTGTGAGTGCACTGTGCCAAGCCCTTTTTATTTATTTTCTCGAATAATGTTCTCTGCAGCCTTGTTAGGTACATGCTAGAACTATAATCTTCAATACAGTTACCACATGTGGCTACCAGACCCACAAGATGTGGCTAGTCTGAATTGAAATGTGCTATAAATATAAAGTGCACACTGGATTTTGAAGATTTACTATGGAAATAACTCAATAATTTTCATATTGATAAAAGATGGGAACTACAACATTTTTGATTTTGGAATTAGAGAAAATATACCAATTTCTTTTTACTTTTTTAATGTGGCTACCAAAATATTTAAAACTTCACTTGTGACTTACATTATGTTTTTATTGGACAGTGCAGTACTAGACTCCCTGTTTGCTTTTTTTTTTTCTTTCCATGTGTGTTTATGTGGTGCTGGGGATAGAATCAGGGCCTCATACATACCAAGCAAGTGCTCTACCACTAAGCTACACCTCCAGCTCTACACTTTTTCTTTTCTCTCTCTCTCTCTCTCTCTCTCTCTCTCTCTCTCTCTCTCTCTCTCTCTTTAATTTGTTCTAGTTATACAAGACAATAGGATGCATTTTGACACATCATACAGAACTTCTAATTCTTCTGGTTGTTCATAATATAGAATCACACTGGTTCTGTAATCATATATGTAAATAGGGTAATAATATCCAATTCATTCTACTATTATTCCTATGCCCAGACCCCCTACCCTCTCTTCACTCCCCTCTGCCTAAACCTAGGTACCTTTATTCTTCCCTAAACACCCCCCTTATTGTGAATTAGCATCCGCACATCAGAGAAAACATTTGGCCTTTGGTTTTTTTTGAGGTTGACTTACTTCACTTAGCATGATATTCTTCAGTTCCATCCATTTACTGGCAAATGCCATAGTTTCATTATTCTTTATGGTTGAGTAATATTTCATTTTGTATATATACCACATTTGACAAAGGGCATCTAAGTTGGTTCCATAGTTTGGCTCTTGTAAATTGAGCTTTGGTAAATATTGATGTGGCTGTGTCACCATAGTATGCTGACTTTAAGCCCTTTGGATATAAACCAAGGAGTGCCCAGCCCTATACTTTTTGTTTTAGAAATTAGAAGCCACAAAAGTTCAGAGACTTGTTTGAAATCAGGTTTGAGGTTATTTGAATCCAGAGCTGTCTCACACTGAGTCTGGGCATTTCACTGCCAATCTAAATTTTCTGGTGAGCAGGGATGAGAGTTGAAGGGATTGTTCTCAGGAAGAAGGAGCAAGGGAGGAAGTGGCACTGAGGAGCACGTTCCCACTGACTCCCCTCTCGCCCCTCAGGAGGCCCCATCCCCAGGGGAACCACTGGTTCTGTCCACCGGAGACCTACAGCTCCTGCACTTCTATGCAGGGCAGTGCCAGAGCCACTACTCAGCGCTACAGGCGGCTGTGGCAGCCCTGATGTCCAGCACCCAGGCCAAGCAGCCCCCAAGTCTCTTCGTGCCCCATAGCAAGCGGGTTGTGGTGGCTGCTCACCGTCTAGTATTCGTTGGGGACACCCTGGGTCGGCTGGCAGCCTCTGCCCCTCTGCGAACACAGGTCGGGGCTGCAGGTACAGCGCTGGGCCAAGCTTTGCAGGCCACTGTGCTGGCTGTTAAGGGGGCTGCCCTGGGCTATCCCTCAGGCCCTGCATCCCAGGAGATGGCACGGTGTGTGGCAGAACTGGCAGGGCGAGCCCTGCGATTCACCACCCTGCTCACCAGCCTGGCTGCCTGAGGGTCTGTTGGCACAGCCTTCCCCTCCCCTGCCTGGTCAGAGCCTCCACACACTCAGGTCTTGGGTGGATGGAGGGCTGTTTCAGGGAAGGGGAGGTATCTTCCCCCTCCCCTTCCCCTTTCAGTCATCTCAGCCTCTCACAGAGGCATCTCTTTCCCCTAATCCACAGCTTTTTGTATGAGAGCCATTTTGTATAAATTATTTATATTTAATGTTATTCCCTGCTTTGTCAGGGCCAGGCACCAGGTCCTCTGAGGCAGGGATGAACTGAACCCTCCTCCTCACCAGCCAGGGTTAGAGGTCACTGCACTGCCTCCTGCCTCTGGAAATTTGGGACACCAAGAATCAAGTGGCAGGAACTTGGGACCACACAGAGTCTCTCTCCCTTCCTGTTTCTTGGTTCCTGAACACCAATTCCTCACTTAGCCGAGAATGAGAGAAGGACATTGACTGCCCAGAATATGAAGGTCTGGGAGACGTCAGAAGACTCCTCCCCTCAAAAGGCAGGAATGTTGGCCTGAGCATGGGTGTGTGCACCTCAATAAACCCTGCAGTCTGGTCCCCTGACTCTGTTGCTTGGGAGTGTTGTGGGAGTGGGGGTGGGGGGGTGGCATCCCTCGCCATACCCATGGCAGGTGGGGGGATTTTCCTCTTTTGACAATGTGCATTAGACTGGTTCTCAACTCCCATAAAGGACCAGAGAGAATTCTAAAGATATGTAGTGAATGTGCCCTTCTAATAAGGGTTGGATGGACATCAACAAGTCATTAAAATAAGTGCATAAAAAATAAACCAGATTGGACACTTGGTGGTGGAAATCCACAGGACAATGAGAAAAGATGAGCAAGGTGAGGAGAGGACCACTGACAAGACATTAGCTAGGCACCTGGAGGAAGAGAGAACCAAGAGAGTCTGACTAGTGTTCCAGGAAGGCAAGCCCAGTTTGCTGACTTGGGAATCAAGCCTTCTTCTTCAGATGATGTCACTAGAGGGGTGCAGTTGTGGAAAGAAGTTGGCCATCACCTAGGTGACTCCAAGAGCATCTAGCCCCTTACACTGCACTTCCCAGGCTTCCTACTGATAATCCCTCTGTACAAACTGTCTTCTAGGGGATCTGGGGTGGCAGACAAGGGCAATGACTTGGAAGTCCATAGTCCTCCAGACTTTGGTGAATGAAGTCAAGAGCCTGTGGGTTTATAGGGGGGATTACTCCAGCTATTTACCTACCACAGGGAAGAAATCTGAGCCACAGACCCATTGCTTCAGTTTTGCACTCCCAGTTATCTGGCACAATAACTGCTTTCGGGGCACCTCAGATTTCAATCACAATCTAGTACCTTGGCACCCTCTGAATTTGCCTCCTCTGTTGTGGGCTCCCTTCTCATTTCATTCTCAAGAAAAAAAATTCCAGATTCCAGGATCGACAAAATTCACCTCTATGTATTGAAAGCCATCTCCCATCTTCCAGACAGATTTCATAGATAACCCCTGAACTGGAGTCAGGTTTCAGTTCAAGTCTCAGATCTGCCATATACTTGAGTGTCTGTAGGAAAATCATTGCTAGTCACCTCTGAGTCCTGGTTTAGCTTTAATGTGAGAGGATCATAATGGTCTGATAGGGTTGTTGTAAGGACCTACCAAGAAAATGCATGTGAACAGGACTGGGCTTGTGGCTTACTGATAAAGTGCTCACCTAGCATGTGTGGGGCCATGGGTTCGATCCTCAGCACCACATAAAAATAAATAAATAAAAATATTGTATCCAACTACAACTAAAAAAATACTAAAAAAAAAAAAAAGAAAAAGAAAATGCATGTGAACAGCCCAGCACCACATAAAATTAAGAGATTATTATCCAAGACAGACAAGGATGTAGACAATAAATCCCTAAGGTATGTTGGCTGTGATTGTATTGCGGTATCTCTGGAAGAGAGGCTAAAAAGAATAGAGGGAGAGGGAGTGGTGGAAGGGTTTCCTGTATTAGGGAAATATGAATAGAGGAGACAAGTGGAAGGTGGTTCAGTGTAGAGAAAGGGGAATGAGCTAGTTGACTTGACACATGGTCCATCCCAGTTCTTACCTAGGATTGGGGAATGAAGTACCTATCAAGCATAAAAATTTATTAGAGAAATACATCGCTAACTTGAATGTACATACACCTGGGGATCTAGTTAGAATACAGATAATGATTCAAGGGTCTGGTTGAGGCTAAGATTATGCTCTCAAATGATAATGGGTGCTGCTGCTCCACTGAATAGCAATTCTAAGGTTAGAGAAGATTTTGAGGCAAAGATGCTTGAGCTGACAGCTGAAGGATGGGAAAAACTTGACTAAGAAGCCATCTAAGTATAAGAACCAGCTTGTGCAAAGACGCTGTAACATTGGAAAAACTGAAGAAGGTCAGAAGCTAGAATGCAGCAAGTTTGAGACATGAAGTGAAATGGAGCTACATAGAGCATATGACCAGGCATGCAGGAGCATGTGTGAGTTCTTGAGCTACCTAGAATACTTATCTTCATGGTGATAGCCTGGAAGGGTCACACAAGGCGCCTTTTTTTTTTT